AGTTTATCTTCCTTGCTCTTATGAAACATACACCACACAAACTCAAAGTGGGATTATCCCAGAATACAAGATGGTACAAGAAAACCATTAATAATATAAAATACCACATGAACAATTAATAGAAGTCAAAATTGTCTCATGTACAAAAATCTGTTTGATAATATTCAGAAGGTGTTCTAGAAAAGCATTATTTTGGGGGCGCCTGGGTGGCTCAGTCGGTTAAGTGTCCGACTTCAGCCAGGTCACGATCTCGCGGTCCGTGAGTTCGAGCCCTGCGTCAGGCTCTGGGCTGATGGCTCGGAGCCTGGAGCCTGTTTCTGATTCTGTGTCTCCCTCTCTCTCTGACCCTCCCCCGTTCATGCTCTGTCTCTCTCTGTCCCAAAAATAAATAAAAACGTTGAAAAAAAATTAAAAAAAAAAAAGAAAAAAAAAGAAAAGCATTATTTTAGAATAGTAACAGGAAGATTTTTTTTTTTTTTTACTTTGAGAAAGATTTGAGGCAACATCTGTCTACACACACACACACACACACACACCTCTGACCATGGTGACAAGGGCTTGGGGTGTGGCAGCCAGAGTGAGTGTGTGTGTGTATGAATGATCATATGCAGGTTGGAAATGGTGATGTAAGGAGGGGTCCATGGTGAGGGGAAGTAGGGTTATGAGAGACTCTGAGAAAATACAATCCACAAAGAAACAAAAAACAGGCACAGGACAGAGGAGACCCACACCCTCATACTGGCTCTGACTGTTCCCCAGCATCTTGCTATGCTGTCTTGTATTTCACAAAGACCCAAGTCAGAAAAGTTATGGTCCAGGGAGCCAGGGTTGATAAGTCAGTTAAATGTACGACTTCAGCTGAGGACATGATCTCAGGGTTCGTGAGTTCCAGGCCCCCATAAGGGCTCTCTGCTGTCAGTTCTGAGCCTGCTTTGGATCCTCTGTCTCCCTCTCTCTCTGTCCCTCCCCCACCCATCCTCTCCCTGTCCCCTCCAAATAAATAACCATTTAAAAATTTTTTTAATATATGAAATTTATTGTCAAATTGGTTTCCATACAACACCAGTGCTCATCCCAAAAGATGCCCTCTCTTCAATGCCCATCACCTACCCTCCCCTTCCTCCCACCCCCCATCAACCCTCAGTTTGTTCTCAGTTTTTAAGAGTCTCCCATTTTTAAATTTTTAAAAATGTTTTTTTACTTTTGAAAGAGAGACAGACCGACAAAGCGGGAGCAGGGGAGGGGTAGAGAGAGAGGGAAAAACAAATCTGAAGCAGCAGGCTCCAGGCTCTGAGTTGTCAGCACAAGCCCGATGTGGGGCTCAAACCCACAAACCGTGAGATCATGACCTGAACTGAAGTTGGACACTTAACCGACTGAGCCACCAAGGCGCCCCCACATGAAACTATTTTTTACTGTTTATTTATTTATTTTTTTTTTTGAGAGAGAAAGAGACAGTGTGTGCAAGCAGTGGAGGGGCAGAGAGAGAGGGGGAGAGAGAGAGAATCTGCACTGTCAGTTCAGAGCCTGATACAGGGCTCCAATTCCAGACCGTGAGATCATGACCTGAGCCGAAATCAAGAGTTTGCTGCTTAACCAACTGAGCCACCCCGGCCCGCCCCCCCCCCCCCCAGCATCAAACTATTATTAAGGAGGAACCCCTGGGAAGTGGAATTGGAGACGAAGAAGATAGGGAGAGAGGAATTATTATTTTGTCAAATAAGCCTGAGTTACTCGGGAAACGTGTCATGCAATAAAGAAAAGCAATGCTGGGGGCACCTGGGTGGCTCAGTTGGGTGAGCATCTGACTTTGGCTCAGGTCATGATCTGACAGTGAGTTCCAGTCCCGCATCTGGCTCTCTGCTGTCAGCGCAGAACCTGCTTCTGATCCTCTGTCCTCCTGTCTCTCTGCCCCTTCCCTGCTTGCCCTCTCTCAAAAATAAACATTAGAAAAAAAGAAGAAAGAAGAGTGATGCTGGAGCCAGTTAGGGAATCAAGCAGTGCATCTCACTGACTTTCTCACTTAATTTTTCTAGTAGGCTCTGTAATTCCAACAGTCATAGTTAAGTCCCGTTGAACTTTCTCCTGGATTTCCTTTTCTTGATTGGGCTCCTAATGCTGCTGTTATTAGTGGATTTGATTATGGTTTTTTTTTACTTACCACTCTGATCTGCCACTTCCTTCCACAACCCGCATAAGTTACAGTTCCTTTGAGCTCTGGTTTGCTGGTTTCTTTTGGGTGTCCATTTTAGAGATTGCAAGAATATTATAACATGGATTTAGCAATCATTTTTTTAACATTGAGAAAAGGTGTTGTGTACTAGAGGGAATTGAGTTTGAGATGTCATGAGCCAGATAATTAATTCCCAATCTTAGCTGCTCATTGGAAACTTTCACAACCTTTTTAAAAAATGCAGATTCAAGAGCTCCTCCCCCAGACATGCGGAATCCAACAATGAATCAATGAGTCAATAGTACTTTAAAGGTGATTCTATGGTCAGTCAGGCTTCGTTGTTGTTGTTTTTTTTTTTTAATGACATTTTCTTTTACTAGACTCCCATTTCCTTTTTTAAAATTTTTTTAATGTTTATTTATTTTTGAGAGAGAGATACAGAGCATGAGTGTGGGAGGGTCACAGAGAGGGAAACACAGAATCCTAAGCAGGGCTCCAGGCTCTGAGCTGTCAGCACAGAGCCAGGGGTGGGGCCCAAACTCAGGAACCTTGATATCATGACCCTATCCGAGGTCTGATGCTCAACCAACTGAGCCACACAGGCGCCCCTCTCATTTCTTTTTTTTTTTTAAGTTTATTTTCAGAAAGACAGAGAGCATGAGCAGGGCAGGGACAGAGAGAGTGGAGAGAGAGAATCCCAAGTAGGCTGGGCACTGTGAGCACAGAGCCCAAGCAGGGCTCATTCCCACAAACTGTGATATAATGAACCCAGGTGAAATCGAGGGTAGGATGCTTAACCAACTGGGCCACCCAGGCACCCCCCCAGACTCCCATTTCCTATTTCTCATTACCACAGTCTAGTGGCTCACTATTCATAGTGGATTGCCATAGAAATTACTAGTATTAGTAATTAGTATTAGATTGTCACAAAAACCCAATTTGTACCAAATCTGGCCAGTGTCATTACTTCATGATATTGCCTACATGTGGCAAGCAGAGGGGTAGTTATCTGATTGAGAAAAGTAATACAATACACAAATTAGCTTAGAGTCACAGCATTTCAAAAAATCATGCTTGAGAACTATCCACTGAGAAAAACCCACGAGAGCCCAGGGGATGTCTTAATAGCCACTGCTCACAGAGGCTACTAAGTGTTGTGCCAAATCCTGTCCCAATAAGCATTTCTAGTACCCCCTCAGCCCTAGGAAGAAACTAAGCTTCCGAAGGGTTAAGTAACATTGTTGATAATTTCTCATAATCACCTAATCACCATCTGACCGTGTGCCTGGCTCTGAGAATTTAGTGGCGGTTCAATAGCTACTGTCTGTTGACTATTGGGTTTGTACCAAGCACATGAAACAAAGCATTTAATCTTTACAACAACCATCTGAGGGATATACTGTTGTTTTCTTCCATTTTATACAGAAAATTCGGTTAAGCTGCCCAGATTACATTTGGGTGCTTGAGTCTGAAATTTGAACCTTGTCATGTCTGACTCTGAAACCCACGCAAGTGCACTAGTCACATTTGGGGAAATAAAGATATGTAAGTGACCATCCTTACTCTCAAGGAGCTCCCAGTCTGATTGGAAGAGAAAGGTGTATACATCTATTTCAGGACAGAAAGAACAGACTTGGAGAAGGGGTCAATAGTTCTCAACCCTGGTGGCATATAAGAATCATCGGGACGACTTTTAATAAATACCGATGCTCAAGCCCATGCTTGGAGATGCTTATTTAATTGGTTGGGTGTTTGCCCTGATCGCTGGTATATTTTAAAGCCCCTTTGCCCCCGTACAAATGATTTTCAGGAGTAGCCAGGGCTGAGAACCACTGAGTTAGACCTTCTACTTTAAGCTAGAGTGAGTTATTGAGGTAGACTAAGAACTGATAGACTCTCAAATTCAATATATAAAACAATTATTTTTATTTGTATTGTTTTATTTATAATATTTATTTTGGAGAGAGAGACAGAGAGAGAGACAGAGCGTGAGCAAGGGAGGGACAGAGAGAGGGAGACACAGAATCTGAAGCAGGCTCCAGGTTCCGAGCTGCCAGCATAGAGACGGATGCAGGGCTTGAACTCACGAAGTGCAAGATCATGACCTGAGCCAAAGTCGGATGCTTAACCAACTGAGCCACCCAGGCGCCCCTAAAATAATTATTTTTAAAATGAATTATTTTATCAGATTATATAATGTATACATACAGTTTAAAAAGTTAAATCGTACTGAGGCTTATGACTAAAATATAGCAGTTCCCTGTTTTTTCCATTCCCCTAATCCCTCCTCACTTGACTCTTTAAATTAATTTTAGAGAATTCACACACCTCCCATTATCCAAATGTTAATGCAGTGGTGTCTTTTGCTTCATCAGAAAAGAATTACTTGCTGGACTTTATTTCTCCCACCCAAAGTACCCAAATATCCCCAAGAAATGGTAAAAGGGAGGAAATGTCAAGTAACGGAAGCAGGAAGAGGCAGGGAGGGGAGAAGTTCTTCTGTTCAGTCCATGGTCAGTAAAGCTGACCATTAGGTTTCAGACTGGCCTGTCTGATCCTCTCCCATCTCTTGGAAAGGTGATGGGCTTTATGTGAAATTATAGCCAAAGGAATATTTCCACACTTTCTTTTGCATTCATGCCTGCCCAGCATCAATAAAGTTTTCTGAAACCTTTCTAGAAATTAAAAGCAATCTGGAGGGGCACCTGGGTGTCCCAGTCGGTTAAGCGTCCAACTTCAGCTCAGGTCACAATCGCACTGTTTGTGGGTTCCAGCCCTGCATCAGGCTCTGCTGACAGCCTGATTCCGATTCTGTGTCTCCCTCTCTCTCTGCCCCTCCCCAGCTCATGCTCTGTCTCTCTCTGCCTCTCAAACACAAATAAAAGTTAAAAAGCAATCTGGAAGCTGGAATATTTCCAAAGCAACTTAAAAATCCTTAGAAACAGGAAAGCAAGTTTGCATTGAAGAGCACGGCATTGGCTTAGCTGTTTGGGGGCTGACCAGAGAAAGGGAAATGTGTTTATTTCTACTTCACATACACTGGAAAGAAAACATGATAGGAGAGTATTACGTAGATCTTGTTATGCTGACAGCTACTTCTCTGGCACAGTTTATAATGACTTTGGCACAATCCTCAAAAAGTTTCTAAGCCAGAGAATGGCTGCAAAAGGAGAGACAAAATTTAGATCAGGGGGATGGCGAACGTTTAATTTGAGGAGTTGGCCTTCTGAACAAAGACTTGATCGACAAGCTAGGATTTCAGCAGGTAGAGGGGCAGACAAGGCTTTGAAGGCAGAGAAGAGAAGCACAGCCAGAAGCCAGGAGTCGGTAGGGATGGCATGGGTGGTAGAGTTGCCATCCAGGCTGTTGGTTAAAATTAACACCAAATCATAATGGAAGAGCTCAGGGATGTGCAAAGGCCTCTTACAGACAGACCATTTCCCAGGCCAGCAGCAGAGGATAAGCAGTTTTGAGCCTAGGTGAACGTATGAACAGATAGAGGATGAACATGAGCAGTGTGTGTGTGTGTGTGTGTGTGTGTGTGTGTGTGTTGGGAGGAGTAAGGGGAGGGTTGGTGGTCAACCTGGAAACTTTGGAAACTAGGAGAGAAGAAAAATAAATTTGCTTTATTTTGAAAACCTGACCTGTCTGAGTCCTTGTGGTGGAAATATCCCGATTTTAGAGATGACTGCACTAGTCGAATATTGCCTAGACTCTTCACACATTTGAATGGGATCCCCATTGCTGCAAAGCTATGCTCATAATTTGGCTTCCAATGTTGCCATTGAATATATGGATTAGCAAAAGCATCTGGCCCACTTACTACTACAGTACTCACTGTAAACTGACAGGGTGACATTTTCATGTGTGCGTTGGTCTTTTGTGAGCTTGACTGGCATCAAACCATCTCCAAGAGACCAATCCATGCTTAGTGCAAAGAGGAAATCAAGTTGTGGGCCCATGAAGCTCGAGACCCAGAGCCAGTATGAGGTACTCAACAAGGTGCTGCCCCTGAGATACCCAGTTAAAGTAAGTAGCCTGGGGGGCATCCTCCCTCCCACTCCCAAAATGGGTCAGCGAGGCTGGGCTGCCTTAGACGCCTTGGGAGAGGAGTTATAACAAAGGACGCATTAGGAGAGGAAGTCAGGGTGTGTCATGGAAAGCCTTGAGAATTGGTTTGGCTTCTGGCCTGCAGGGCCTCCCTGCAGATACGTTGGCAGGGAATGCCACACAGTCAGTTCCCCATTTAAGGAGAACCGCCGGTCCCTGAAAGATGGACTGGATAGGAAAACCAGAGGCAGGGGACCAATCGTCAGTCTGCCATAAGTGTATAGGAGGAGGAAAAGGACAGTAACAGCACACAGAGTGAAAGGTCACTCCCAAGAGACATTTCTTGGCTCCACACGGTACTTACTGTGCCTTGACTTTCTCACTTGCAATATGTGAGAAGGAGTAGCTGCCACCTCCCCCAGAGAAGAGACTCTGCTCTTTCTGGCACCTGTATTGTTAAAATAATTTTCGGAAAGCTGCCCTCTTTTCATAAAGCACGTAGAGGTGTTTAATGGCTCATGAGGCAAAACGGAGCTCATGTGCTTCTTCTGACAGTGCACATTCTGGACTCAGCCCAAACACAATCTTCCTCTCCAGGCCTGAAAACTGTTGAAACCTTCGTTGCTCCAGGGGGGTTACAAATAATCCCACTGCTTTTAGCAGTGCAGGCTCATAGCGTCCTCTGTCCTCCCTTTTCCTGCACAGAATGGCTAGGTCTTTGGGCAGGTAGCCACATTGGAACAGGTGGTGACACCTTTCCACCACGTGTTTCACAATTTGTTCCATAGTGAGGCCAGTCTCTGTGTCATCCACCCCAGGCAGACCCTGGGCACACACTGCTTCCTTGTAGGCAGTTTCCCTGAACAATGGCAGTGTGTCTGGGGACCTGCCAGAGGGCAGATTTGCTCTGATCCCTCCTCATTTCTTCTTTCGTGACCGTTGCTATTTCCAGAGCACAGTGGATCCCATTGGTGATTGTTTTTTGAGGAAACTGAGCAGATGAAGGGGGGAGGCCATTAATATCTGCCTGATGGACTTGGAAAGGGTCCAGAAAAATCCAGAGAATCCCATGATGAAGGTTTTCACTCCCAGCTCCCCTCACCTTTGGAAGGTTGAGGGGAGCTCACCTTTGAAGGCTCCTGGCCTTCAAGTACTAGTCTCCATATTTACTGCAGAAATTCTCAGTCTCATCCATCACTATGTGTTTAACCTCTAGGAACTCCCCTTGTAAGGTTTTCCGAGTCACAACTCTGCAGGTGGTTTGTTGGCTAGAGGATGAAAGAGAGAATAAGGTTTCAGGCATATATACAAAGGGAACACCATATGCATCACTATCTACATCGGAATTAGAGGCTAGTTCTCATCTGGAGACTGATTCATTGACTCAGTGGTGTCTTAAACACTACAAAACTACTCTACTTACAAGTTACCTGATAGAATACATAAATTGCAAACTCTACTCTTTGGGGTTATCTAATTAAATCTGCACATGAAAATTTTTGAAATGAACCCAGGTAGGAGATTTCATTTCTATTACTAGTCCATTTCTGCTGCTAGACAATCCCTAAAGACAGGCTCATTACATTGACAGGAAATCTCAAAAGCAATTTCCACTTGTTACTATCATTGCTTAACTTTCTTCCTTTTTAGAGCAGGCAAGCAGGTCCCTGGAGGCATAATTTTCATGTGCAAAAGAGGTATGGGCTAGGATGAATTCCTATCTAAAGCAAATCCTATTTCCCCACTTACTGGTAGTACAAAACCAAAGCCTTTTTAGATTTTGGTAAGGAAAACATCAGGAAGTTGCTGAGTTCCATGACATGTCAAGTAAGATAGAAAATCTACAGGGCTATGCCTCTCTGGGACTGCTACTCTGTTTACTTAGCTCAATTTTCCTTTGTAGTATGTTTTAGTGTACTAGAGGAGGAGGAACAAATTAGAGGAGGCAAGAAACAGCCAATTTCGTTATATAGATAGATATAGGTAATTTTTTCAAAGTAAACTTGGTTGTTTCTTTCCTCTAATTTAGATCCAAATAACATCATTCATTCCTATAGATTTCCTGATTTATATATGCAGTCCTTGGGGATTTGCTCCCCCTATGCCTTGAATCACAGCTACTTACGTTCTTCTGTACCTGTTTCGACTGTGTAGACTTCTTGAAGTAAAGCACCGATTCTTAGTCCCCTCATATTAGGGGTTCAATAAATAACTTGTTGAGTTTGCCTTTTGACTGGGATATTTTTAAACTTACCCATACAGCATAGCCCTTAGCACAGTTTACAAGATCCTCCATAATTCGGAATCTCCTTCCTTTCTAACTTCATCACCTGCTACATACCTCTACTCCCTCCCTACTCCAGTAAGACCTACCATTCTGATTCTCTCATGTGCCTTTGCACTTGCTGTGTGCCCTTTGCCTAAAAAGCCCTCCACTTCTCCTACTGACTTCTTAAGAGTATGCCAAAGGATCCTTCACCCAGGACTATTTGCTGGCCAACCTCCAACCTAAGTTAAAATAAGCATATCCTTATTATCATATTAATTATGCAACATTCAATTTGCTTATTTTTTTCTTATCTCCCTTATCGGATCTTTAGGGCCCCATCTTCAATATGTTTTTCCCTGGTAACACTAAATGTACACATTCCTAGAATATAAGTGGGGCCCCAAAAGATTTATTGGGTACATAAGTAAACCAAACCAAAAATTAAAGTGAGTTTGCCCTCATTTGCTAGATTGTATAACAACCAATTTTTTTTTTTTACTACACTGAAAGGTAAAGACTTAAATCAGAGGCAAATTTGCATGTTTTCTGCAGTTGTCGATTCAGAATAAGTCAAACAAATGAAAACAGTTTATAAACAAAATGAAATGGGTATTTAAATTCAAGTTCCTGTTAGGTATAATGTCTAATTAACTGAAATACTCTATGACTTTGAAGCATTAAATATCAAGCAAAATGTATACTTAAAACAAAACAGGCTTATTTCCACTTTTCTTAAAGTTAAGGCCAGAGATTGTAGGGAATAAAATGTTTCTAGTTAAAGAAATTTAAAGTGATATATATAGTTGGCTAATTTGTAATGAGATGTTTAAACCTGAGCATTACATAGTACCCATTTGTAGCTCAACTACCTGATCATTTGGAGATGTGTATAGGGTTTGGGCTCTCAGATTTATGCAGCTAAGGCCTCACAACGTCTTAAACTAGAAACGCAGATTACTCTTGAGATACTGTCGAAAAGACTGACTAAATATGTTTATCATGTTGAGTCAGTGGCACTCTTACATCACATAATCCTTTAAAGAGTCACTTTCACAAACATAAAGGATCTCTTTTGGTTTGCAGTGCAACAAATGCTTAATTTTCTCCACGATCTTTATGGCTAGGGCTGTCTTCCTGGTTCCTGGAAAGTAGTGGATAAATTCTCACGGCTCCTGAAGGCTTTCTGAAAGCAACTCACATTGCTCCTCTATGAGCAAGTTGAAAAATTCACAGCCCAGCTGGTCACTCAGAAGAGATCTGGAACACAGTGAGACTATGATAAAGGCCGGCAACAAGTCTTCCATTTCATCCTTGGCAGCAAGCCATGTAGGACTGGGGGTAGTGAACAGGGATTTCTTTAAAAAAAATTTTTTTTTAACGTTTTATTTATTTTTGAGACAGAGAGAGACAGGGCATGAACGGGGGAGGGGCAGAGAGAGGGGGAGACACAGAATGGAAGCAGGCTCCAGGCTCTGAGCCATCAGCCCAGAGCCCGACGTGGGGCTCGAACTCACGGACCGCGAGATCGTGACCTGAGCTGAAGTCGGACGCTCAACCGACTGAGCCACCCAGGCGCCCGGAACAGGGATTTCATTGGGGCTGCACTGTGTGCTGGACAGGTGCATCAACCTTGGGATAGCACACACTTTCCCTGTGTAACCACCAATGGTTCCCAGTTTCTGCTTTAACTGATGAACAGTGTTTCGGCCATATTCAAGCCCTCCAATCCAACCGGGGCGTATTAAGATTGTATGGAGTACCAGGGGACTGTTAACTGCTATTAGAAGAGCATCGCACAGGACATCCCGCTCTTTCCTTAAGCCAACATCACTGGCCCAGCTTCTAGAAAATATCACAATCCCCTGAGAACAAGGATATATCTGTGTCTTCATTAACTCCTTGAGTCCTTTATGATCTGAGAAGAGCTTCTTACAGAGGGATACTGGTTTAAACTGTATCTCTTCCTGTGTCACTGAAAATGCAAGAAATAGAAATTATAAACTAAAATTTACAAAAGCATATTGTAAGTATTCCTGCAACATCATAGGAAGAAATGAATCTAGCCATGGAACTATGGGTTTCCTCGTCTACAAAGAAAGCACCCCCTCTTTATTTTGATGTAGCCCAATAATTTATTTTTGCCTTTGTTTCCCTTGGCTCAGGAGACATATCTAGAAAGACCTGGTAATCACAATACTGGGTATTTACCCAAAGAATATGAAAACGCTAACTCAAAGGGATATAGGCACCCCTATGTTTATTATTGCAGCGTTACTTACAATAGCCAAACTATGGAAGCAGCCCAAATGTCCATTGATAGTTGAATGGATAAAGATGTGAGAAATATATATATATATATATATATATATATATATATATATACACACACACACACACACATGGAAATATATATGTATATGGAAATATATATATATATATATGGAAATATACATATATATATATGGAATATTTTTGGCCATAGAATGAAATCTTGCCATTTGCAATGACATGGATGGTACTAGAGAGTATTATGCTAAGTGAAATAAGTCAGCTAAAGAAATAAAAATACAATATGATTTCAGTCATATGTGGAATTTAATAAACAAAACAAATGAACAAAGAGGGGAAAAGACACAAACCAAAAAACAGACTTTTAACTATAGAGAACAATCAGATGGTTATCCCAGGAGAGGTGGGTAGAGGCATGGATATGAAGGGGATTAAGAGTACACTTATCTTGGGGTGCCTGGGTGGCTCAGTCAGTTGAGCACGAACTTTGGCTCAGGTAATGATCTCACAGCTTGTGAGTTTGAGCTCCGCACTGAGCTCTGTGCTGACAGCTCAGAGCCTGGAGCCTGCTTTGGATTCTCTCTTGCCCTTCCCCCGCTTGCATTTTTTTTTTTTTAAATGTGGTTTTTAAACACTAAAAAAAAGAATACACTTATCTTTTTAAAAAAATTTTAACATTTATTGATTTTTTGAGAGGCTGAGTGTGAGTGGGGAAGGGGCAGAGAGAGAGGGAGACACAGAATCTGAGGCAGGCTTCCGGCTGTCAGCACAGAGCCTGAGGCAGGGCTCGAACTCACAGACCACAAGATCATGACCTAAGTTGAAGTCCGATGCTTAACTGACTGAGCCACCCAGGCGCCCCAAGAGTACACTTATCTTGATGAGCACTGAGTAATATATGGAACTGCTGAATCACTGTATTGTACACCTGAAACTAATGTAACACTGTAATTAGCTACTCTGGAATTAAAATTTTAAATTAACTCAATAATTTTTAAAAAGAGAAAGCACCCCCTCTTCACAGGCCAGGACTACAAATTTCCTATTTCTGGCAGCTCTTGTGCAGGAGAAGGCAATAGGGAGGAGTCTTCACAGAATAGAATAGCCTCCTGGTACCTTCTCCTCAACCCCAAGTGGTCCACTACTGTTAGGAAGGTATTTCTTCTGGCTAAGGTGTGTGTGTGTGTGTGTGTGTGTGTACCTGGTGCTTTAAGGATCCAAGAACTTTCCTTTAGGACATTGATTCTTAACCTGTGGCAGTTTTGCCCCCTAGGGGACATTTGGCAATATCTGGAATATTTTTTGTCATAGCTGGAGAAGGTGCTACCAGCATCTAGTGAGTAAGGGCAGAAATGCTGCTAAATATCCAACAAAGTCACAGGGCAGCCCCCCTCAACAAAAATTATCGAGCTCCAATATCAATAGTGCCAAGATTGAGAAGCTCTGCCTTAGGAAGAGTCCAGGTGACCCCATGGTTCACCTCTCTCTTTTGTTTTTAATTTTTTTTTCACTGTTTATTTTTGAATGAGAGAGACAGAGAGTGAGCAGCAGAAAGAGAAGGAGACACAGAATCCGAAGCAGGCTCCAGGCTCTGAGCAGTCAGCACAGAGCCTGACAGGGGGCTCGAACTTACAGACTGTGAGATCATGACCTGAGCCAGTCAGATGCTTAACCTATTAAGCCACCCAGGCACTCCAGTTCACCTCTTTCTGATTGGAAAGCCAGGGGCAGCTGTGGTATAGACTTAAAGAATTTAAGAGAATTCCTATATTTTCTCAAATTTGGAGAACAAAGCCATACGTGACTGGAAGCCCCAAAGCACACAGAAATATAATGTGGATACAATAACTGAGAAACAAGAGTCCATCATATATATTATTTCAGGACCATTATGTCTACATTTGACCTCCTTTAAGGACTAATTGCCTTGGACTAATTGCTACCAATTCCTCCCAGTTTATTATTTTTTGTAAACTCTATGTTCAATGTGGGGCTCAAACTCATGACCCCAAGATCAAGAGTTTCATGCTCTACCAACTGAGCCAGGCAGGCACTCCCCAACTTTATTATTATTATTATTGTTACTATTTTAACTTTAATTTAATTTTGTTTTTTTAGGGTTCATGTCCAGCGTGGAGCCCAATGCAGGACTTGAATTCACAACCCTGAATCAAGACCTAGGCTGAGGTCAAGAGTCAGATGCTTAACCAACCGAGCCGCCCAGACGCGCCCCCATCCTCCAACTCAGTTTTAGAAAACAAAGTCCCTTCAGCTATAATGAAGAAGGAATACCTGGAAACAGACGTTGTAGAGGTCTCTTAAATTCCAGGACTTTTTTGGGAGATGATGGGCTTCCTAGGGCTGATGGAGCTGGTGAACTCAGGTGAAAGCTGTAGTCAGTGGCGAGACTGGAAGTTGCTAAACAAACACACGGCAAGTTGTTTCAGATAAAAAAAGAAAACTCTTTTTCATTGCCCTTACTACTGTTGACATGAGATGTGCAGCGTGCCTGAGCCACTCATGCTTTCTACGCCTCAAACAGTTCACATATGTTAGGCAATGAAGACTGGGGACTCTTGGAGTGTCATGCATCTTCTAAGTCACTGTGTGGCTCATTTTGGGCAAGTCATTTCCTCTCTCTCGTGCGAACGTGAGCTGGTGGCCCCTAACGTTTCCTTCTAACTCTGATATTCTGATTCTGGGTCACCCCTAAAAGGAAAGGCTGCTGGTGGCTGATCAGAAAAAGGTTAGCACAGTATTTTTTTTTTATTTTGTTATAGTTTGTTTAAACCCCCATTCAAGGTTTAGTTGGATCAGAAAGCGGCAGGATCTCTAGATTGGGGTGTGTGTCTATGAGAAAAGTAAACTCAAACAAATTTAGGACAGGAGAATGATTTAGCAAAATCACTCGAGTCTTGATCCCAGCTTCTCTTATCAAATTTGGAACATACTGACCATGAAGACAAACTGACCTGTAAGTCCTTTATGGATTGATTAGAAATCACCAGGGCTGATTCTGAGCCAAATTGTAAGGGAGGTGAGAACACTATGAGTCCTTCTTCCCCTCCCTCATTCCCTGCTCAGCATCTCCTTTTACATTGGTTTTTCCCCATTTGGTAGTGCCCCAAGCCCACTGGTTGAAGACATTAGCTCTTAATGTTACAGAAACCATTCAAATTTGTCAACAAGCTTACCTTAAAGGAATTAGTGGAGGGGCACTTGGGTGGCTCAGTTCGTTGGGCAACCAACTTCGGCTCAGGTCATGATCAGCCGGCTGGTGGGTTCGAGCCCCACATCAGGCTCTGTGCTGACAGCTCAGAGCCTGGAGCCTGCTTTTGGATTCTATATCTCCCTCTCTCTCTGCCCCTCCCCCACTCATGCTCTGTCTCTCTCTCTCTCTCTCAAGAATAAATAAATATTAAAAGAAATTTTTTTAAAAAAGAATTAGTGAAGTCATCCTTAAACAGTGTTTCTCCCAAATACTGACTTCAGAGTGACCCTGTTGATTAATGTTTTTGACTAAAAAACCAGCCTACAAAATTCTTTCAACAGGCAGTTACCGTGCATAAGGGAACTTTCACTAATTCATAGCTGATCGGATAAATTTCCAAAAGTGGACTAAAATCCAAGCATTTCTTGACCTCAAAGAGTTCATATTCTGGGTCTTTGGAGCTGAAAATATTTTTTTAGGATTGTATTTTTAAGTAATCTCCACACCCGCCGTGGGGCCCAAACTCACAAACCCAAGATCAAGAGTTACACACTCCACTGACAGCCAGCCAGGCACTCTGGAACTGAAAATATTTTCAAAAGAACCCTGTAATGGGAGAATATTTGCAAGCAAAATTGCTTTCTATCCTTCAACGAAATTACCTGACCAAATACCCATGGAAGGCACAGAAGGGGTTCCTCCCTGGCTGACTAGATTATGACTTCTCTTCTGCTTTACCTGACTGAATATCCAGCATCATGGCTACCCAGTGCTCCGCCGTCAGCCTTGTGACAGAATTGTCCCTCATGATCCAGGAATCCAGGGCCTCTGTGAATACTACACAGCAGAAGGGCCCCATGTGAACCACACAGACATAGCCATACAGGACGTTGTTTTGGTACACATTCAAGATTTTGGTTGTGAAATGCACCTTTGGCTTCTCACAGCAGAAGTGGAAGGTTGGCAATTGTTCTACACAGCTTTCTATTTCCTTTTTTAGTAAGTCAGGGTTCACTTTTTCTCTCTGACAGCCAAACACTTCTTTGCTCTTATCATCTACTCCAATAATTAGGTATCCCCCGAGGGTGTTGGCAAACGCAGAAACGTAATGAGGCAGCATTTCTTTAATCCGAGGGACAATCTTTCTGGTGGTGAACCTTTTAAGCTCCACACGTGTTGACTCCGTAACATTGAGTTTCTCCTTATACAGGAGCCTGTCCTTTTGGTTTTTTTTATTTTTTAAAAATTTTTTTTAATGTTTATTTATTTTTGAGAGAGAGACAGAGCATGAGCAGGGGAGGAACAGAGAGAGAAGGAGACACAGAATCTGAAACAGGCTCCAGGCTCTGAGCTGTCAGCACAGAGCCCGACACGGGGCTCGAACTCACAAACCATGAGATCATGACCTGAGCCGAAGCCGGATGCTCAACCGACTGAGCCACCCAGGTGCCCCAGGAGCCTGTCCTTTTGAAACAGTTCTGAGGCAGACACCCTCCTATCTTCCTCTTCCTGAATGTATCCGTAAGGAACTTTCTGAGAACTCCACTCCTTCACCCTTGATCTTCCTCTTTGGGCTCTAGACTGCTTCTCTCTGAGAAGCTCCAAGGCACTGCTGGCGCTCAGGTTGACAGTGGAAGTCACGGCTCTCTGGTAGAGATTGGAACGCAAGCTGCAAATCCTTAGGGGGAGGCTGGAGACATCTGGGCTCCAGGACTTTACAAAAATCAGGAGATTGTGCCCCTGCTGCATGTAGTCAAGGTATTTCTGTGAACCTGAAGGAAGGAGCTTCTGAAAAGAAGTTTCCAGGTCCTGCCCCAGCCCATGGCATCGTTAACTGTAGGTTTTATCATCAATCTCTGCTTTGATCACACCCCCTCCAGAATTTAACAGCGCACAGGTAGCTTGGATGATTTTCGCATTCTCTCTTCTTTTCAGATAGCTACTGGCCATCTTCTTCCTGCTCTCTTCTCCAAAAGTCATCCTGCCCACGTGTACAACTGTCTTGGGATCGAGCATTTCCATGTCGGTCTGGACACCATCCAGCCCAGCAGTCCCTCTGTGCTCCAAACAATAACAGAAAGGGGTTCCAGGAAATAACTTGGACAGAAATGTGGTTTCTACATTAACAAGAATCCTGGAGATTACAATATTTTCTTTGAACTTACAGATTACTGGAGATACATTTTAACATTGGAAACACTCTTTGATATTACTATTTTCTAACAACATTGCAAGCTCCCAAGCCTTTCCAGCATGAACAGGTATAGGTAAAGATGAATGCTTAATATTTTGCCATAACAGAAAGATTCCATTGCTGAAACTGTTAGTCGTTTTTCATTTAAAGTCAGGAAGCAACAACAGTGAGCCCAGAGATAAAGGGCACGGATTGGCAGAGCAGCCAAAGCAAGTTATACAGAATATGCAGAGGCAGAAGTTGAGCCAAAAGTTGCTCCTATTTATAATTCAAAGGGAAAGGAAGCCAATAGAGAACTAAGGGAGAATAGTTCTGGGGTATATGTGATGTGGTCTTACTATAAAAACAAACATAAAAGTTGGTGTTCTTTATGCACTATTTTATACATTTAAAACATTTTACTCCTGGAAGAATGTCTATTGATACCAAATGCAGAAACCGTTATAGCTTCTCAAACCTTCTTCTAAAAATACGTTTCTTCATACACAGTGTGAAGTAGGAGCAGGAGTGTTCTTTCTCTTCTAAATAGTTCTACCCTGTGCTGCGGGAGCCTCCAAGGCTCAGAAGAAAACATGAGCCTTTGGAACATAGTCCTTAAACTATGGTCGATTTTCCTTTTTGCTTCACGGACCAGAGAGCAGCCATCCAATTTGAACTCAGGGCTCTGAAGCAAATGTTTCACAAACGGCCTTGTTAGCTCTTATTAAATGCAAAGCAAAATATTTACTAACCCAAATCAAAATTCTTCCTCTAGGAGAAGAGAACCATTTCTTCTGTGTGATCTCCTCCAAGTAGAGGCCATATGGGTGTTGTTTATGCCCAGCAAGAGGGGAAAAAAGCAGGCATCCGCAGGATGGGTACCCTCCTCTGCCATTTGTTTGCTCTTGGCTGCCTTCTCACTTCCTCCAGACAAACCAGAATCAGCCTGATGAATTGTTTTTTTCATATGTGAGCATCTTCTGTAGGTAAATGTAAACATATGGCTCTTAGAGAAATTTCTGTTCATATAATAGAATCACAGAAGTGTTGGAAGGAACTTTAAAAATCTTCCAGTCCAACCATTTATCTGATTCCTAAGTCTTCTCTATAATATTCTCGACTCCCAACAAATCTTTTCAGCAACTGCTTGAACACCTCCAGCAACAGTAACTCACTACCTCTCAAATTAGTCCCTTCTATTTTCTGACAGCTCTGTTAGAAACGGCTTCCTGATTTTCAGTTATAATTTGTCTCCCTATAATTTCCACCTGCTGGGACCCACAAAACAAATCTAATTGCTTTTGAACTAGCAAACCTATACTCTCGTGATTGCCAAGTCTCACTGCTATTACTTGGATGCTGATGACAACTATGATAGACAATGTTTTCTGAGATTCTAGCTCCATATGAACATCCTTTGTACATTTCCCCAAATTTCTCACCTCCAATTTATTTTTTTTTTAATTTTTTTTTAATGTTTATTTATTTTGGGGACAGAGAGAGACAGAGCATGAATGGGGGAGGGGCAGAGAGAGAGGGAGACACAGAATCGGAAGCAGGCTCCAGGCTCTGAGTCATCAGCCCAGAGCCCGACGCGGGGCTCGAACTCACGGACCGCGAGATCGTGACCTGAGCTGAAGTCGGACGCTTAACCAACTGAGCCACCCAGGCGCCCCTCCAATTTATTTAAGATGTGTTTATTCACTAAGTATTTCATTTTATCAACAGAGGTAGTTAGGGCACAACCTTTGTACACACTACACACAAACTGACAAATACCAGTGTCCATCTACTCTCGGTTCATTCATAGAGATTGTTCAAAGACTATGGAGAACATAGTGACCGAGAGCAACAGTGCTGGCTGTCCCTCACCACTGACTGACCCTAGCTAAGTCTCCTAACTTTCACTCATTCTCTCATTCAATCAGCTATTGTTTGAGCATCTGAGATGTTGAAATCCTTGCTCTGGCCCTTTCTAGCTTTGAGACCTTAGTTATGCTAACCAAAGCCTCAGATTCCTTCTGTGTAAATTAGAGATAATAATAGTGTCTTCTTTGTACAACTCCTGTGAGAACGAAGTGTAGCCTGGGGCTACATGTCACAATAAAAACTGCTATTTAGTGATTGGCTTCTTTGGGCCAGATATGCAACTCTGATGGTCTCAAATTGTCCTTATGACAACTTGTAAGACATGCATTATTTTCATCATCTTATAAATGAAGAAACTGAATTCAGGGAAGTAAAGCTCAAGGCTACACACCTAGTAAGTAACAGAGCTGGGATCTGAACCCCTGTCTCTTGCCAAACTCATTTACTATCATTCTGCCATGCAGCCTTACTGTTAGCCAGAATAAGATACACGTCCTGCTCACAATCTAGAGAGGAAAAGCATGTATTAACTCATTGCAATTCAACAGATATAATAACATCAGTTGAGCACTTTACCTGCTATGCATTCTCTGTGTGCTCATTCAACTCTTATAACAGCTTGCAAATATAGTCACATGCATGACCATTATACCCTAGTGCCACTCTGGAGAGCTAATAACATATGAACAGTGTGCTCTGGGTGTTCTGAGGAGTGACAGTAACTATGCTCGTGAGTATAAGATTTCATAAATGAGATGGTACGTGAGTTGCAACCTGCAAGTAAGAATGTACCAGGTTGAGGGGCACCTGGGTGGCTCAATCAGTTGTGTCCAACTCTTGATTTGGGCTCAGGTCACAATCTCACAGTTTGTGGAATCGAGCCCCACGTTGGGCTCTGTGCTCACAGCAAGAAGCCTGCTTTGGATTCTCTCTCTCCACCTCTCTTTCTGCCCCTCCCCTACTCGTGCACTGTCTCTCAAAATGAATAAACATTAAAAAAAAAAAAAAAAAGAATGCACCAGGTTGAGAGGGAGAGATGGGGAAAGAAAGGGAAACCAGGTAGAAGAATAGCACATGAAAAGACCCATTATCTTCACTGTCTAATGTCTCCTGTCCTGAAACTACAATGGAAATCCTTAATAGGTCTGGTACAGAGACACTCCATTTCTCTACATTCTTCCCTTTTATTTCTCGAACTTCAATCTAAAATGGAACCAGAGCGGGGCACCTGGGTGGCTCAGTCGGTTAAGCGTCTGACTTTGGCTCAGGTCATGATCTCACAGTTCATGATTTCAGGCCTCACATCTGGCTTTCTGCTATCAGCACAGAGTCTGCTGTGGAGGTCACTTCAGAGTCTCTGTCTCCCTCTCTCTGCCCCTCCCCTGTTCTCTCTTTCTCTAAAAAATAAACATACATACATACATATAAATAAATAAATAAAATAAAATAAAATAAAATAAAATAAAATAAAATGGAACCAGAGGAGAGAAAATGAAATCTCACACAAGGGCCCTCAGGAAAATAAAAAGACTGAGAGACTCATTTCTCATAAATGCCTGATTTACAGAAAACTGATACTTGATATATTTTTGAGAGAGAGAGAGACAGAGACTGTGTGTACAGGGGCACACATGTGCAAACAGGGGAGGGGCAGAGGAAGAGGGAGGTAGAGAATCCCAAGCAGGCTCCACGCTCAGCCCCACACTGGGCTCGATCTCCTAAGTCGTGATATCATGACCTGAGCCCAATTCAAGAGTCAAGGCACTCAACATATTGAGCCACCCAGGTATCCCTTGAATTTTCTTAAATGATAGTGAGTTGGTCAGGGGTTAAGTTTTACTTATGGTTCCCAAAGGCACAAACAAGAAATAACCCAGGTCAGGTTGGTCTTGCAAAGGAAGCTGAATTGAAGTTTGTTTGTATGACCAGACTGGTCTGGTCTGGTTTGCTTGGTGAATTTTCAAATCTGGCCTCCCTTTGTTTTTTATTTTAACAGACTCTAAACTGAGCTCTCTCCTCCTTACATTCCCTACCCAAATATGCAGCCTATCCCAAACTCTCAAGGGACTCAATGTAACTTGCTAACGTTTGCAAGTCTTGAACTGCAACTCCTCTGCTCTTCCTAAATAAGCTCATCTTTTTGACAATTTTGCACTTGTCTCAGTCTTCCTTTTTATTTAGGTTGACACCTTCTACCCATCCCTTTCTGACACTCATCACATTCCTCACGCTGCTTTTCATATGCCACCTCTCAATTTCCACTTCCACAATCCTAATTTAGGTTCTTCTTAGCTCTCACCTATGCCAATCACTTGCTATAGTTTCCCTTTCTTTCACTTCGCCCTCCTTTGATCTATTTAAAAACACATTTGCATACATAGTTGTCAAAAGTACAGCTCTGATCACTGATCAACTCCCACTCTGAAATCTTCAAGTCTCCCACTTTCTCCAGAGTAATCTACACAGCCAGTAAGCCACCATCTTTGATGAAGTCTTGATTTGTCTTTCAAATTTCCCACCACCTCCTTTCTTTAACACTAATAGCGGTCCTCAGACTTTGGTATGAATCAGAATCATCCCTGGGTCACCTTTCAATAATACATCTGCCTGGGATCCAACGCTAGAATTTCTGATTAGATAGTCTGGGTTGTGCTCCAGGCTTTTTTGGGTTTTTGTTGTCTTTGGTGCTAGAGGACATACATATTAAGTATCCCCTCGTGTTTTCTAACTCACCAAATTTAGAAACACTACATTTTTTCGACTTTACTTACATTTCCAAGTTCCCCCATGCTTTCTCATTTAATTCGGGCGTCAAATCTGCCAGAATCTCCTAATTTTCAAAACCCATCCATCTTTCCAGACGCAGATCAAATGCCACCTCTTCCAGGAAGTCTTTCCAGTTCTCCTGCGCATTTCTTTGATATTTAGCTGCACTTTTCTTGCGGAAAGCTGATCTAGGAAGCGTCCAAGCGCCCGATCAACGAAAGAGTTCACAGAATGGAAAGGGACACATTCCTCCCAGCCCCCAGCCCTCAGCCCTCCCGCGGGAATCGGACAAGTGCAGTAAATCCTATTGGATCACTATCCGAATCGATAATTCTTCCCGGAAATACCGGGCACAACTCTTTCAGATGCCCTCCCCGGTTGTAAAACAAAGGACCGGCAACTGGCAAAAGACGTCCCAAAGTCCAAGGGCAGGGAGTTGAGAGGCAGGCAGGAATCGCTCAAAGGCTGAAAAAGCACTAGCCTGAAGGCGAAGACCCCCACACTAAGAAGCAACCGAAAAGGCGCTTCCGCCCTCCGTCCCGCTCCACGCCTCAGTGTCGCCTGGCCCTCCGATTGGCTGCTCCTCGCACCCGCCCGACAAAGGCTGTGACCCACGTGACTCAATGGCGGCCGGAGGATTGGTTGTCCGGCGGAGGCTGTTCTGGGCGGGGAGGTCTCGCGAGCTGCAGCAAAGCTAGGCTACCGGCAAGCGGGAAGCGGGGCTGAGTTGTAGCCAGGAGCCGAAAGTCCGAGTGACTGCTGCTGTCAGTCTCCGCGGGCCGGAGCAAACCTCCCGAGACAGGGCGTAGGAGCTTGAGGAGTTCGGAGAGCGGGCTTTGGACTCGTGCCTGGGTCTTTAGTTTGAGCCCTGGCTTCGGCCTTACTCGTATTTCCCTGCAAGTACGGTCCCTCTCAGTCTTTCCTGAAGTCGGTGGGGTTTGGACTTTATTATTATTATTTTGTTGAGAGTCCATTGTATGGAAGCACCGGTTGACCTGCGCAGCGCGCCGTGGAGACCGCCATGAGGTAGAAGCTAGGGGAGGGAGGGCTTAGAGATGCGTGTATGGTTACCTGCGTGCAGTATTGGAGGTAAGTTGGCTTTTTAAATTGTGCTGATGACTTTGTAATCTAGGAGTTTAAGTTTAGGAGAGAGGGGCGCCCAGTGACCGAATTAAACGTTCATTTATTGAGCCTCGTCCTATGTACCAGGCACTGTTCCGAGTGCGATGGATGCAAAGGCCAGGAAGACACTGGCCTGGTTCTTGAGGAAGTACGTGCCATGGGGCTGATGGCAGAGATGGAAGGAGGGGTATGTGCATGGGTAAATAAGTAGCGTGTGGTGGCGTGCTGTGGTGGGGAAAAGTGCTGTGTAAGTGAGACGAGAGGATGACAGAGTTAGAGACCACTTAGAGAAGGTGACGTTTGAGTAAGGTTACTATAATTAGAAGTTCTCCAGGTTGAAAGGGTTGGGGGAGGCACTCCAGATGGAGCAAAGTGTACTGAGGAAGAGAACTAGGAATGTGTGCGTGCTGTGAATGGCGGGAGCACACTTGGAGCTCCGCTCCCAAGTTTCGTGCTTTTAGACAAAGTTATTTAAGTTCTCTCAGCCTCTGTTTTCCTCGTTTTTAATGTGTACTTCACCGGTGTAGGAAGATGAACTAAAGACTCCAGGGTAGCCCCTGTAAAACAGGCACTTTGTTAGTCCCCTCGCCCCCCGCCCCTTTTTAATGGAGTTTAATTGCTGAATGGTTAACACAGACCAACAGCTGTCAATTTTTAACTAAGGAGTATCAATCTATTGACATTTATAGATGGCTGAAGGAAGCATGTGCTGTCTCCAGAATTGTTACTTAGGTACTGACAACACCATGCTGAAAGGCTGGGGAGGGTGACATTGTGATCCAAGTACTTTTCCACATCAGTGACAACATACCACCAGAAGGTGTCATTTCGAATAAATGAAATGCAGTCAGCTTTCTTTTCTTACTCACTCACTTTTCTTACTTACAATTTCTTACTCAGAAATTGATTATCCAGGTTTTGAATTACTTACACTTTGCATTGCTTCTTTTTTTTTAAACATTTTTTTAAATTTTCTTTTTTTTTAAAATTTTTTATTTATTTTTGAGACAGAGAGAGACAGAACATTAGCAGGGAAGGGGCAGAGAGAGAGGGAGACATAGAATCTGAAGCAGGCTCCAGGCTCTGGGCTGTCAGCACAGAGCCCGACACAGGGCTCGAACTCACAGACTCTGAGATCATGACCTGAGCCAAAGTCGGATGCTCAACCGACTGAGCCACCCAGGCGCCCCTTGCATTGCTTCTTTTATCTTTCCTATGGCCTGGAGAAAAATGAAATTAAGCCTCATATTTAACTGGTAGTGGAAAAATGTAAATCTGATCATCAAACCTCTGTTCTCTTTCCAGCTCTACTGTTAGTTAATTTGTTGTGAACCTTTGGCAAAACGTAGCCTCTCTGGATCTTGGACTTTTAAGATAGAAGATTCCAGTATAAAGATTTTATGACTATACTTCTTCTCTTTGTTAGGAGCAGAATTATAAATCAAACTGTATATTAAATGAGCTGGAGTTTATAATGGAATGTAGTAGAAAATCTTTTCTAAAGCTTTTGCTTTAGGATGATAAATCTCTTCACAGACATCCCTGAAATTTTATCATGCCTAGTGTTTGGGCTCATTAAAAAAAAATTTGGGGGGCGCCTGGGTGACTCAGTCATTTAAGCATCCAACCCTTGATTTTGGCTCCAGTCACGATCTCACAGTTGGTGGGATGGAGCCCTGCATCCGTCGGGCTCTGCACTGACAGCCTGGAGCCTGCTTGGGATTCTCTCTCCCTCTCTCAAAAATAAATAAACATTAAAAAAAAATTTTTTTAATCATAAATGCTTCTCCACTCTCCTGTATTTCAAAAGCAAAAAAGTTCCTCCAAGTTTGCATTTTTGTACAGCAGACTTGCTTAAAGCAAAACATAATGGAAAATAAAGTATTTGTTGAAAACCCATGGTTGAAACTTATCTATAAAGAAGCCTTTATTTTTTTCATAGGTTAACCTAAGTTTTCTTGGATGTGGAGAGTGTTGGGCTGCTCTTAGATATAGAAGGATGTGAAATGGAATGATGCGATGATGAGTGAAGTATAGTCTGACCTGGTATTGCCACTGCTTCGGTGTTGGCCTTGACCAGGGTATGATCCCCTAATCTTCTCTCTGAGCTGATTCTGGTTGTGGTTTTTCCACATTGGTATGTTTTAATCTATTTGCATACTGATTTTATTATGTATAAGAATGTTTCTTTGATATTCTTTTGAATTGCTGATACTTTGCTGTTTTCCTTCTTAGGTTGAGGTGAAAAATCTGGCTTTTGAGATCTTCGTGGAGGACTACATTATTTCAATCCTGAATCTGGTTCAGTTTCCTTATTGACTTATGATATTAAAAATGCTTAATTAACTATGGTGTTTGTTTTCATAAAACCTTGCGCTCTAACAAGAACTTTTACAAATATCTATTACATTCTTCTTATGGTACACAAAAGTGTTAATATTTTCAAATCCATAGGTTAATCCATTTCAAAATTTAATCAACTTGGTGCTATCAGAGAATGTGCTTTGAATTGCTAAATGAGTGAAAATATTGGAAAATACTTATCTCAGCAGAGGCACTTAAATTATTTTCATCCTTCCTCCACCCATATATTTTCACCAACCTGACTATCCAGTGGCATGAATTTTACTACACAGAACTGAAGTGTTTCTGTAGTATTTCTAAGACGGTATTTCACACAAAGCTGAATTCTTGCTGTTGGAGTAGAGGATTTTTTTCTCCAAGTATTAGATTAGCAATAAACACACACACACACACACACACGCACACACACACACGCACACACACACACGATGTCAATACAAAAATACCTCAAAGTCAAAGGTGGTCTGAATGAAAAATTTAAACACCTCAGTAATCTTTACATTTCCACATAATCATGACAACTTGGAACAGCTCTTTGCCAAAAACATTTATTCTTAAAATTTGTTTCAGCATTTCACAGAAACTTACTAATAGCCAGAATAATTTGTGCCCATTTTGCAGACTCTTAACAGCAAGAAGAAAAAGATTCTTTTGCACAAAGTTAGATCAGTATTTTAGTTCATCTCTTAATTAATTAGATTTGCTTTCACACTGAAATCTTCAGACAACAATATACACTCAACCCCTACTTTTCTTTAACCAGTTTCCCATCTGTATGGCTCATAAAGGAATCTTCTTTAAAAGTTGATAAGCTATAACAGGTGTTACTTAACAAGTGTATCACAGTATATGGAAGGCGCTTTGTTCTTCTAAAGTGTTTCTAAGTATGTCTATAAAGAGCAGGTCTATGTTTCACATTGTTTGCAAACTGATAAAATATCTTCTTCATAGGCAGATAAATGCTTTCTTTTCTCAAGAAGAAGGCTGCTACCTATTCACTACCCACTTTATGAGGTCTAACTTGGGTTTTTCCTGAGAGCTTCTATACCTCTTGTTCTTCAAGGAAAAGCTTCTGTACTATCCCCTTTTATCCACTTCCTGTACATTGACCTTCATGTCTCCTGTCAGTCCTGATTCTCATTCTAACCAGCTTGGTAAACTCTAAGTAGGAATCTAGACAGCAAGTTAAAAGGTTAAGATCAATGGATACATCTTTTTAAAGAAATCCATATACAGTTGACCCTTGAACAACACAAATTTGAACTGTGTAAGTCTACTTATATTCGGATTTCTTACAGTACAGTACGGTAAAAAGTACAGTATAAATTTTTGTTTAACTTTTATTCATTTCTCAGAGACAGAGCATGAGCAGGGAAGGGGCAGAGAGAGAGGGAGACACAGAATCTGAAGCAAGCTCCAGGCTCTGAGCTGTCAGCACAGAGCCCGATGCGGGGCTGGAACTCACAAACTGCGAGATCATGACCTGAGCTGCAGTCGGATGCTCAACCGACTGAGCCACCCAGGCACCCCCAAAAAAGTACAGTATAAAGGTACTTTCTCTTAATCTTAGTATTTTCCCTATCTTATTTTACTGCAGGAATACAGTATATAATACATCTAACATACAAAATGTGTGTTAATTGACTATTTATTCGTAAGGCTTCTGGTCAACAGTAGGCTATTAGTAGTTCAGTTTTGGGGGATTCAAAAGTTATATGTGGGGGGCCGGTGAACACATGTTCAGGGGTCAACTCTAGTTATTTAAAGTCCATATAATTATGAGTGGAGGATGAGAAGTATCAAACAATGCTACATACTGTGCTGAAAATCAGTCCTGTGGCCTTATAGTGCAGTAATTTTGTTGTGAGATAAAATGCTAATCCGTTTCAGTTCTCAGGGGAGTACAGTTTAATTAGATGTTGTACCTCTGTTGGATAACCTGTTATGGGACAAGCTTGGTGACTCCTGACATAATTAAACACACAGCGATAACAAAACACATAGCCAGAGGTGGCAAGAACAGTATCATTCACCCGGGTTTTACGACACAGTGGGCACACAGTCTTCATTTTGGGTAACAGAGGAGAATCAGAATTGTAGTCCAGGTGTACAGGTGGTGGCGGAGTAGGTAGGGCAGTCAGCGATTTGACGGTTTCTTGATTTTCAGATGAGTACCACCACTCAAGGAATTGCAGAAAGAATACTCCCACAGAAAGGCCAGTAGAGAGGGATAAGGCAGCACCTCCCACAGCTTTCTTCAGAGCTGACTTTATCTTCTCACCAACACTGGTGGGAGAACAGAACGAGGAGACAAAAGGAGAAACTGCTTATGTAGGTATCATCACAGAATGGCTACTAAAATTATAGTTCTTACACTCTTCATCAGAATCACCGATTCAGTTTGGGGATTGAGTAGTTGCTAGATTGGCACTGTCTCCTTTAGTATCTGTTCTAAATGATTTCTTTTTTCTGACCTACAGTCTTTTGGGAGTATAGGAGCTAAACTTTGTATTTAATGACTAGGGTCTTCTTTGTTTTTGTTTTAAGAAAGAAATTAGACTGATTATATAGATTGTGTGTGTGTGTGTGTGTGTGTGTGTGTGTGTGTGTGTGTAAGGTAGTATATCCAGGAAAAGGAACAACGCTCTTAACAAAAAATAACTTAGCAACATTGAGGAATATATATTTGAACTTGTAGGACACCATAAACACTAACTAGAAGCAGTATAGCATTGTGGTTAAGACACAGTCTTGAGAACTGTTGATCAGGCTTGGATCTCAGTTCTGCCACCTTCCAGCCATGTGGCCTTGGCAAGGGACTTCAGTATCAGGGCTCAGTTTCCTTAGCTGTTAAATGGAACAGTGAATTTATTTCATTCGGTTGTGATGAGGATTGAGGTAACGTACATAAACACCTAGCACAGGGCCTGACGCACGCAGCAAGCGTGCACAAAAATGTAGCTAGTGTGATGAGGAAGTTTACCAGGATGGCCACTCTTGTTCTATGGACACGAGAATTTTTCTGCGTTTACAAAATACCTCAAAGTGAACTGAGGAAGGTGGATTTAATAAAATTGGTTCTGATTTTAGAATATGTTAATGAAATATTTGGGGGAATGTTAAAGCATTACCTCTTGGCTGGTTGCTGCATCATGCTGACTTCAGCTGGTCTGTGCTCCAGAGCTTGTATGTCCTGAACTGTAAGTCGACCTAACCGAACACCAGCCAGCCTCAGCAGTGGTGAGTGATGCTGAGCCTTTCCTAGGATGTATCGAAGTTGTTGTACAAAAAACCAGCCTTCCCATGCCATGTTAACAAATGGGTAGGCTGCCAGGAAAGCTCTATAAAACTGTTTCCAACGGGAAGAAGGGGGATGAATAGAATATTCATCCTCTTCTCTCAGGCTAGAAACCAGCTTCTCTAGCTTCACTTTCAGGTAGGGAAGAAGAACCAGGAACATAATTGACTTCCAAAGCTGCTGTTTTGGGAGACCAGCACTGGCCAACCTCTGAAGCTTGTGTGTGTCCTCCATTACAATGCGCTTTAAGCCATAAAAATTTTCAGAGAATGAGGCACTGGTTTTGGACAAATAATGCTGCTGGAGCAGAAGATCTAGCAGGGTGAAGATTTCATCAAACCACCTCCAAAAGAAGCCATAGTGGGCAGGATTGGATTCTGCAAGAACCTAAAGCAAAGTAAATTAATAAAATGAAATTCATTCCATTTCACAATTACTATGCATTGTATTTGCATTTCCCCTTTTTTCTCCTAAATTCCATACTTTAGGCTTAAATGAGCACTTCTTTTGGGGTCTGCCCTATCCTCCCTGAAGTGCTGGGTTATTCAGTACAGGGCTCTACACATAACATGGACTCAATAACCGTTAAACCATAGGATGTGAATTATAATTATTGGTTTGGTTTTTACCCAGTCCCTAAAAACTCTCAGAGAATTGACACCTTACCTTGACCACATGCTGAAGAGCAGGTCTCACTGCTGTCATTAAACTCTCCTGTGCTACCACCTCAAAGATGGATGGCTGGTCATCCACCACAGAAGCAGTTGTGATGTGAGCCCCATGCTCAGCCATAATTTCCCGTGTGCACTGGGTTTCACTTTGCCCACAAACTCTTTAGTAAGCATGAACTTGTTTTAGTTATCAAATAGGTGCTCAGTCTTAAAGGTAATCTTTCTGCAAGAGACCCAAAACTCCTCTTTCACGGAAGTGGGGGAAAAAGACCTCTTCTGGAGGCAGAAGGGAGGGGTCTCAAACTAAGGAGGTTAAGAACGAAGTTAAGGCAGACGCGGGTGGAAGTGGTGTGTGGGGTAGGGGTGACTTGTCAAATGCTGTACCTCACAGGGCAGAGCATGCCTATGGGGACAGGGATGGGCGAAGGAGTGATATCTTCTGGAGCTGCAGCCCTGGAGGCTGCGAATCAGGGACTCTAACTCGTGAGGGCTCAAGAGCCAGCTAGCTCTGAGGGGTTAGAGGTGCCAGTGCGGAATCGGTACGCGAAGACCGGCTCTAGCCGTTGGCTGCGAAGTACCCCCGCCAAGGACCGTCCTTGCGCGCTGACCCCGGCGAGGCGCGAAGGACCCACGATTCCACGTTTGTAGAGAGGCCCCCGCTTTATGACAGGAGCCGCACCCGGAAATAGAAGCCGCTGGGGACTGGGATGGCTGGCGGACGGGAGGCGCTCTAGCCCCGAACGTGGCCCGGAAACCGGAACGAGCAAACTCTATGACCCCACCGGAGCTTCCACTTCCGCTTCCGCTCCCGCTGAAATTAAAGAAGTGACTTGGGGGTCTGGCTTGGAGTTGGATTCTCAGCTCGTTTTACTTTTCTTAGCTAGGTTTGCATCGCATCCCCGATGGGAAGCCACACCTCTGAATCTCTCTGCAGAGGCCTTTTTGGAAAGGTGTTTGGGGCGCCGCGCGACGTCTGGCACCCAGAGTCCGGAGTTCGAGCCTGCTGCTGAGGCCTGTGTTCCCTTGGGCGATTTAGTTAAGGGTTGGGGGACGAATGGGAATGTGGACACACGGAAGTTCTCTCTGTGTGCGCCGGGCGTGGTGGTTAATTTATAGCCGGCCCTCCCAGGAGGGATTTGCAGCTGGAGATAGAAGTCTTTAACCTTATTGCCGCTAATTTAAGAAAAAAAAAACAGACGATTAGAATGAGAAAGGCTCCTGATGTTCCTCAGAACTTGGACGGTCACTTTCCATTCTAGCGGGTAGATTAACTGTCTTGTAGGTGTAGTTACGTTCAAGCATAACTAGGCACTTGCTACACTTGATGAAAACGGTTCCTACTCTCCTATACGGTTGGATGTGTCACAGCGATGTGAATACAGGACTGAGAGGAATCCTGATGAGTTGTAACTAGAATCAACTGGAGACGCTTGGAAGATGGTACTTTTCACTGTATACCAAACAGTGTAATTTACAATTAGCAAAGGGCTTTTACATCATATGCAACTTATCCTCTCTTGAGTTGCTTATTCACGTTTAACCATTCCTCTTTCTTCAACCCCTCCCCACTTCTGTGCTAAATAGGAATAGAAGGTATTCACTGCTGTAGAGGACCTTGTGGTATAAAGATCATTGGTTTGCATAATGAGAACCCTCAAAAACAAGATTTGGGTTTAATTGTTTAAATAAAATCTTGCAAGTTAATCTTAATTATAGTTCTAAAAGGTTTTTTTTTACTCCACCAAATAACCTGCTAGCGAAAATCACATTGATACAAGATATTTTACCTTAGGGAATTTTAAGGACTAGAGATAATGTATCTGTATAAAGCACCCGACACGTATTAGGTGTTCTAACAATGGTAGCCCTTATTTGCAGGCTTCTCTTTTTTCTTTTCTTTTAAGTTTGTTTATTTTGAAAGAGAGGGAGGGAGAGAGAGAATCCCAAGTAGGCTCCACACTTTTAGCACAGAGCCCGAAGCAGGGCTCGATCTCACAAACCAAGAGATCATGTTTTGAGCCAAAATCAAGAGTCAGGTGCTTAACCGACTGAGCCACCCAGGCGACCCATATGCAGGCTTTTCTTGATTAAACAACAAAAAGACAAAGTTGAGACAGCATCTACTATGACAAGTGGGAAATTGGTTAAACATTTGTATCAATTTTAGGGTTCTTTGGTTACAAGCAAAAGAAATAGGCCACTATTTAAACTAAAAAAAATATTGGAAATATATAGAGTAGTTAACAAAATGAGGAATGCCAGTTCTAAAAGAGTCCTATTGGATGTCTCTAGCAAGAATTAGTAAAGTCTCACCCAGGCAGCATTGTTAAAATGAATGAGCTTCAACAAATTTCTGTCACTGTACTTACAATGCAAATTGTATTGCCCTACCTTAGTTCAGATGTCTTCTCCACTCTGTTTCAGGGAAGAGGGCAAAACATCTTGATTAACGGTCTTTGAAAATACCCCAAAAGTAAATTGAAATTGCACAACGAAAAGGCAGTCAAAAATAGTGTCAATTATTACAGCCAACAAATAACCACCTCATCATAAATCCCGTCCTCGTGTTTATAATGTAATAATAGATAAGACACATAAAAAGTGCACTTATGTGAAGAGGTATTCAGAGCCATCAGACAGGCTAATATGACGTGAGTTTAGAGGAAGAGATAACTATCAGCTGGGAGGAATACACACTGCTAACCAGTTTAAACAGAACACCCTTATTGGCCTGCATAACCAAAGGCAAGAACATTGTTTCTAACCTCATATTTTATTTCCACTTCCCTTTGCCAGTTGCTCTTTAATGCAATGATGTAACCTGGTACATTCTGTACCTCATATCATAACAGATGTCCACTGAGAAAGTTTTATGAATCAGGTGGACCTCAAAAGATAAGTACATTTGGGGCAAGTATTAGTAGTAGTGACAGAACTTTTGAGGCTAAGGGAGCAGCATGGAGTGGATAGGAGGAACAAATTGTTGCTTGCTTTAACTGTAGAGGCACAAATAGGAATAGTAGAGTTTATGTTGAAAGTAGATTTAGACGGATTATGGAAGGTCTTAAATGCTAGTTTTAGTACTCTGCCTGTGGACGGTAATTTATTTAATAAATATTGAGTAACTTTAAAGTTTATTTGTATTCATTTTGAGAGATACAGAGAGCAAGAAGGGAGGGGCAGAGAGAGGAAGACAATAACAAGCAGGCTCCACCCACTGTCCGCACAGAGCCCTATGTGGGGCTCAAACTCGCGAACAGTGAGATCGTGACCTGAACCAAAATCAAGAGTCGGATGCTTAACCGACTGAGCCACCCAGGTGCCCAATATTGAGTAACTTTTATGTGTCAGGCATTATGTTGGGTGATGGGTATAAAGTAGTAATAAAAACAAATTGTATGTGCCTTCATGGAATTTACAGTCTAGTTGAGGAGGGAGATAATAAATAAATTAAGATACAATTTGTAAATAGAATGAGAGGGCTGGGATGGTGTGGTGGTGTGGGCTGGGAGTGCATAACCTTCTAGAATGGGTAAACAGAGTGCCTTTCTGAGGAGATTGCAATTAAACCAAGACCTAAATTATGAGCCAGCCATGTGAGGAGTTGCGGGAGGAGGGGGTAGTATTAGGTAGAAGGAGCGGTATTTGTGAAGGCCCTAGGATGGGAAAGAGTTTAGCATATTTGAGGGCTGCAATAGCTAGCAAAAGGAAAAATGAAGAGTAACTGAAAGGCATAAAATGATGTTAGAGAGGTAGAGGCCAAACCACGCAAGGACTCCGGCCATGAGAAAGAGACTGGATTTTAGCCCAAGTGCAATGGGAATTCACGGAAGAATACCAGAATCACAATGAGATTTGTATTTTTAAGATGACCCTGTAATGGTTATGTGCTTATGTTTACTTTATGAAAATTCATCCGAGCTTTACATTTATAATGTGTGCACTTTTTATAAAATGTTTGTTATACTTCAAAATAAGTGCAATTAAAACCTAAGGGCACTTGGGTGGCTCAGTCAGTTAAGCGTCCAACTTCAGCTCAAGTCATAATCTCACAGTTCACGAGTTCCAGCCCCACGTCGGGCTCTGTGCTGACAGCTCAGAGCCTGAAGCCTGCTTCAGATTCTGTGTCTCCCTCTCTCTCTGTCCCTTGCCTGCTTGCACTCTGTCTCTGTCTCTCGAAAACAAGTAAACTTAAAAACAAAACAAAACAAAACAAAACAAAACTGGCTGCTGTGTGGATAATGGTTGGGAGAAAAGTTGAGGTTTCTAGTATTCCAGGCAAGAGGTGATGGTGGCTTGTATTAATGAGGTAGAATAGAGGGGATTGGATGAATTAAAGATTTATTTTGAAGGTAGATTGACAACTTGGAGATGGATTGGATGTGACAATTAAAGGAGAGAGAAATCAAGGATGACCCCAGGTTTCTGGCTTGAGGAATGTAGTGTAATTTATCGAGATAATCACGCAGCAAATACATACATAGTATGTGCAGCCATAGTTCTAAGTGCTTTACATATATTAATTCCCTTCATCCTTATAACAATATTTTGATTAAATATTACTATCTCCCCATTTTATAGATGAGAAAACTAAAGAGCATAGAGCTTCGGGGAACTGGGGGAAGGATAGGTTTTGGACATATTAAGCATAAAGGAGCTGTTGAAAGGTTTTGAATAGAAGAGGCATATGAATCAAAGTCTGTAAGATTTTTCTGGTGGCTTCTTCGTTATGAATCCACCTCTGATTTCTGGGAATTGTAACTGGAACCAGGTTTTACAGCAACCCTCATCCCATCATTTGCTTAATTTGGGTGGGCCATAAATATAGAATTTTCCATAAGTGTGGTTGGCAATTTGGTGGTGAAAAGTTGGGAAAAAGTCAAGGCTAGAGATAGAGATTTTGAAGTCCTATGGGTAGGAAAGATCATTGAACTCATGGTATTGCTAAAAATAGTGTAAAGAAAATGTATCAATATAGAACTTAAAAAAATCCTCACTATTCTCTCTTTCCAATATCCTATATATCTTCTCTTTTCAGCCACATTTTCTTATGGAGTTATTTGTAACTCCTGTTTTCATTTCCTCACCTCCATTATCCTCAAACTTCTGCAGCATGGCTTTTGCCTTCTGTCTCTACTGACGGTCCCAGCAATGATGACCTTTACATTGCTAAATCCTTGGATGCTTTTCAGCCCTTCCTCCTCTTCTCTCTAGCAAGTGATACTGTTGATCATTCATACATTTACACATTCAACAAATTTTGGAGAGGGGGGAGGCTAGGTCGCAGAGATAGAAGAGCGAATAGGTTAGTATGTTCCTACTTTCATAGAACTCTAAAAACATCCAAAAAAGTTATAGCCACCAGCTTTTCCTGCTCCTTTTCTACTTCGCAGTCTCCTTTGCATTTTGGTTTCCTCAGCTACTGCGCCAGGCACTCTCACTCTCCACATTTAAAAAAATTAAAGACTTACTATTTTTGAAGCAGTTTTAGGTTCACAGCAAAATTAAGAAACAGGTACAGAGATTTCTAGGTCTCGGTTTCCAAAAGTAACTTACTATTGTGTAAGCACTCCTATTACAAGCCAGGTGCTTTACCTACTTTATCCCACTGAAACTTCCCAAGCCAGGAAGAGATAGATTGTTGGCTCCTTTTCACAGACAAGACAAAGGTTAAGGAGACATTAAGGAACTTTCCCAGTCAGTCTCAAGGCAGGGGTTTGAATTCAGAAATTCAGATCCGA